GTGTGTGACATTGTTCATCACCATGCAGAAAAACATTTTGGTGTCTTCATCAAGTACGTCATCAACCAGAGGTACCAGGAAAAAAACTACAGACGTATTTTGTGAGTATCTTCTTTGAACATCTGTTAAATGTATTCAATCCCATTGAGGGTTTAAATACTGTAAATAAGTTCTTACTAAGGAAAACTATTTAAGTATTACATTTAAATATTGTTGTTTACTTCCTAAATCTTCAAAATGAATAAATATCTGGACAGAGATGAGTTCTACTGTAAGCTGAAGGTAGGGTTCAGATACCACGGGTCAGACGTCAAACCCTGTTTTCACAGGAGTACTGTACAACCCGACCAAGAAGTATTCAGTGATCCAATCCTTTCAGTAGGGTTGGGCAAAATCGTATCATGCGCAACTTTAATCAATTATTTTTTGGCACTTGACAATTAATACGATCAATGCCAGCAGACAGACTGACTGGAGATTTCCTCGGTCAGTGCACTCAATGCTCCTCTCTGCTTCAAATATGACAAACATAAAAAAAGTTCAGTAATTTATTTATCCTAACTCCAGTTTGACTTGGTCTATCAACACAATTTAAAAACTGATATAAGCCTGAAGTCTGTACTTTTGACACAAATACGGACAGATTTTTACAGAGTGAATTTTTCCCACTAGAGGGATTTAAATTGGTCATGTGACTAGGACATGCAGGCGTCCAGGGACTCCAGGGGATTAATTGTATTAATCATTATCAACTACGTAAATACCACAATTTATCGTGATTCATGTTTTTTTTTTTTAACCGATATTGCCCAACCTTACCTCTCAGTAACTCATGGTGCAATCAGTGGGAACTACCAGGTGCCTTGTATACCATCCAGGGATTATTATGTGGGATTTTCTACATGCAAATAGATTTCTGACTGGAAACATTTTAGATCAAGACTCAAGAAGCAGCTTTGCTGTCATCTTTCTCGTTAGTTTGTTTAGTTTGAAGCTTTATGTTTCAATAAGTGTCATTTTGATGCATTTGTGTCTGTTCTTTAAACACCATGAGATGACTGCTGAGGATAAGACTTAGGTCTTAAACCTTTAAAGTCTAACCCTTTTAAAAAATAGTCAGAAAATTCACATTTTTTAGAACTGACATGTTTATTGGGT